TCTACTTTATGCAAAATTTATGGTGATTTATGCTAGTGGCAGCAAAAGGTAGGTGTAAAGCAACAACAATTCATGCAGATTATGACCTGAGTACTTCAAGTCCGGTGCAAAAACACATGATGGCAGGGGCCCGCCCGGTGCATTTCAGCCTGGGTTGCAATTTGCACATAAGCAAAAACGCATAAAAAGGGAAGGCCGCACATGGAGTGGAACACGTTCGAAAAATAAAATCTTGAAAAAAAAACCGTGAAAAAACAGACCATGTAGCGAGATAGTTCCGCTCATAATTTGGTCAATCCAGGACTGCAGCACTTCCAAATTGCTATCTTGATGCTTTTTCGGATCATCCAGATTTACTTGCGACATATCGAACCAAATGCCTTCTTTCTAAGATGATTCAGTTGCAGGACAGTTTGTTGCAGTCATTAGTTGTAATTTGTTTAGTAGGGGCAGGGAAGAAGTAAATCACTGGCGACGCGCACCAGGCGTGTGCGTGCAACCGTGCGTTTTTGTACTGTCTCGTGCTGCAATAAGATCGCTTGGAATCCCAGTAGCTAGAATTTGTGACACACTGGTCCTCAAAATTCAGGAAATTAGTTGCGCAGCTACGTGGTACTGGATAGAGAACATTCTCTTAAAATTTCAGTCTCCTAGCCGTTCTGGTTTTCGAGCCAGCAATTCTCCGTCGGAACTTCTACGTGCTCGTACACGGGCCACAGATGTGTATGAGGGTTGGTATCGCGGTCCTGGGTGGTACTTGGCTGGGGAACCCACTGACAAATTTTCAGCGCCGAAACTTGCTTGGTTGCCGAATTGAAATACTCGGACAGATGCATATACGCGCACATACACATTTACACACACACACACACACAAACAGACACACAGCATGGGCTGTCACAATATGCATTTTTGCATTCGTATATGTGCAAAAACGCATAACAAATGATAAGGATATCAGCAAAACTCAGTAACAGATTCTTGATATGCTTACGAGAAAAATGGAAACAATACCACCACTTACATCGGAAATATCAACAAGGCCAATTTGTGGTCCACCCTCAATATCGATGCCAAACATGTCTTCCCAGATATCCACCATCAGTGGAAATTCATCTGGAAAAATTTCGAGCACAATTTTATATGGTAAGAACGATGATGATGCTTAACCAGTAAAAGTTTTTCATTGATTAATAATTATGATATTGTATCCGAATTGTTTCTATTAAATTTTTTACGAAAAAGGAAATTTGATAGAAATAATTCCGGTACAATATCACAATCATTAATCAATAAAACAAGTAAAGCATGAAACATGCGCAACAACAATTCAGTATCTGACACGTGTAAAGCTTTAACAACGCTACCGCATGTATCAAGAACATCAAAACGGCCCGGGCAGTTGCTGTGAAAATTTATGCTGTTTATTCTTTTTTGGTGTCCTGCCTGCCAAGTCCAGTTGCGCCAATCCCTTGAATTCTATGCTGCATACTTTCCGTGAGTATCCTTCACTTGCTTGATATATGCGCGTCACCTCTTCGGAAACCACTTGAGTGGTCGTTTACTTCCTTGCCGGTACCACCCACGGATACACATAGTTCATTCATTGTTAGAGGAAGAGATAATTCAGGCACCCTTCTCATTACTGCCCTCTTCGTTACACTAGCAAACGTTCTCCCCATTTCACATCAGTATATACTTGCCATCAACATCGAAAAGCTGGGCATAACCCTTTCAGTCAACACTTTGAGGACTTCTATGACACTGTGAAATTTGTGCCGACTGAAAACTGCTCTACTTGCGATATCTTCGTCTGGATATACTGACAAAGATTTATTCTAAGGCCAAGAAAATGTAACAGTAAGCATCATCCAAGTCAACGCCTCTACATGAGTCTGGCTCCAGGCACTTTGCATCACCTTCGTTTTTAATGCGCTACTTTCTAGTACTACTTCCTTACTCTGTGTATCAAACTCTTGCAGGATCCCATTTATCTGCTAAGCACTACTGTAATGAGAACTGTCTCACTCCCAAAATACAATTCATTTATCTCCTCGCCACTGATGTCCAAATCACTTTTTCAGGCCAGATTATGAAAGGCAATCACAATGAAAAACATGAAATGTGTGGGCAATAAGGAATCCTCCTCCTCATGCTTCCTTCACGGACTCTGGTGGATATGTCATTTAGTGCTAATTTATGAAATTTGCACAGAAATTTTTACTCCAGTTTTTATGCGTTTTTGCATATATGCAAATACAAAAACGCATATTGTGACGCCCCTACTGGGCATATGTGTGTGTGTGTGTGTGTGTGTGTGTGTGTGTGCGTGTGTGTGTGTGTGTGTGTGCATCTGTTCGTGTATTTCAACTCGGCAACCAAGCTAGCTCCGACGGTAAAATTCTGCCAGTGGGTTCCCCGAACAAGTGCCGCCCCAAGGCCGTACGTGAGAACCATGCGTACCTCACGCACTCTGGGCCCCGCGTAAAAGTGCGTGAAAGTTCTGATAGAAAAATCGCTAACTCGAGAACCTGAAAAACTAGAAAGCTGAAATTTAGCGGTCATGTTCCCCTCTACGTAGAACTCAAAGTTATCAAATCCAGCTCCTCGGTGTGCGTGGTTCTCATGTACGGGCTCGTAAAAATTTTTGGCGGGAAAATCAGTAACTTGGGAGCCAGAAAAAACTGGAATTTCGAAATTTTATGAAGATTTTCCCAGCCCACACACAACTCAAATTTTTCAAATTCAGTCCCCAGGTACGCATGGTTCTCACGTACGGCCTCGCGAAGTTTTTGGCGGAAAAACTCGGAAAACAGATAAAACAGAAAGCTGGAATTTTGAGAGGTTGCCCTCTGACCAAATACCATATACAACTCAAATTTTTCAAATTCAGACCCCAGGTACGCATCTCTCACGTACGGTCCTGTAAAGTTTTTGGCGGTAGCTGCACAATTAATTTTCTGAACTTCGAGGACCAGTATGCCATAAATTCTAGCTACTGGGACTCCAAGCGATCTTTCAACAGCACGAAATACTGCAAAACCCATGATCGCACGGGCCCACCCGGTGCGCGTCGCCAACGATTTTGTAAGTTCACAAACATTTAGATGAGCATTGCTCCAAAAACAAGGCATCACAACCCTTTTAAAACCAGTGTCAGCGCGTACCAGGCTTGCCGGTGCGAACATGCGTTTTTTGAATGTTTTTCCCCAAAGACGATTGTCGTTCAGTTGCACCGGTTTTCGCAGCAAATAATTCTAGCCAAACGAACAGAAATACGCGACAAATTCTGACTCGTTATCATCATTTTTTCCCTCACTTTTCAGAAGTGTTGAGCTTGCCGCTATAATATTAAAAGTTGTCATTTTATACAGAACAGCAAAACTGAGAATAAATATCATTTTTATGCAGCGGCTCGCTTAGTCAGGGGACGTCTTTCTGACAAGATACACGTCTCCGTACATTCAAAGTTGATGAGCGCGTGCCCAAAATTACCTGGGTCAATTAAAGCGATTTCCAGTGTTCCTGCATGTTCGCTATTCTCATCAGCAAGTTTCTGAAGTAGATTGAACATGGCCCTTCCTTCACGCGATTCTTCGTCACAAAATGCAACAATCATTTTCTCGTCTTCTTCTGGATCTTTCTGAAAATATTTATTTTCTTTGGCCACGTCACTTCAGTTATCAATTCAGTTTTTATGCGTTTTCGTTGTGCAACGCTGTAGCGCTGCTACAGCGAGCAATGACGCATATTGTCGATAGGTCGTCTGTGTGTGTGTTCGGAAGCGAGTGAACTCTCTCACCCATTTTCAACTCAGCAACCAGGAAAGGTGGGAGGCTGAAATTTTAGGGCCATATTCTACCCAATGTGTCACCTTCCCGTTCTAAAATCTTCGCTCATACGCGCCTAGATCTCCCGCACGGTCCACCGAAAAAAAAAATGCAAATTTCTTTGGTGGGAAACGATTTCATGTATCAGACAAGACAGAAAGCTGAAACACTGCAAGAATATTCAGTGTGCGTGTATGAGCTAAAAATTTCAAATTCAGCTTTTGCACGTGCTTATGCCGCGCGAACGGTCATGTCAAAGTTTGCATCTGGAACTGTGCTAACTCGAAAAGTTGCCAGAAAACAGTGGCTGAAATTTTGTCAAAATATTTGTCGTCCATATGGAAAACAGTATATCTAAGTTTTGATTTGCACTTGCGCCACAACTTAGGGCATTTCAAACATATTTGAAAAGTGGTTATTACGCACACCGTGTAAATTGCGAGGGTGAAACTTTGCTGGGATATTCTAGTTCCATGTGCGGTCTTAATTAAGCTTGGAGGTGGACTTCCCTGCAGACGGGTATGATAAATACTTAATTTCATCGCAAACTTGAAAGCGAATGCATTTTGCAGATATCATAATCCTCTTCCGATTTCTTTCAGATTTGCATTTTTTTCAATAAGCGAGCATTTACCTGAAAAAAAACCGGGCTTCAAAACTGGCAATAATGTACGGTGGAGGCACGTGCGGCCCTATAGTGCAACACCTTTATCCCAACCGATGCCCTTTCCCATTGCATGCCGGAAGAGGCTAAAACACAGCCAATATGAGTCCAAGTGCTAAACCACAGAGTAAGGACCATTCCTGCTGTTATTGACCTGCAAGTTTAGTGCAGAAACTGATGATCGCACCGGCAAGCCTAGTGCGTCCAGTCTGGATTAATTCTTGCAAAACTTTATAGCTTCAAGTAGTAAGCAAGCAACTGCAATAGAATTGGCTGATTTTCAATGATATGAGTAATTCAGAAGTGTAAATGTTAGAAGAAACGAAGATGATCGGAAAGAAAAGCGTCGAATACATTTTCCATTCTAAAAACAGTGTGAGACATTTTTTCTTAAAATTGTTGGTGTTTTTTAGCTTTTTATGCGTTTTGTGCTACAACAGTTGCACAAAACGCAAGTAGTCGAATCCCTGTGTGTATGTTTGTGTGTTCCGAGTACATTTTATCCCGGGGTTTCAACTCGGAAACTAGAGAAGCTAGGAAGCTGAAACTTTAAGGGAGGCCCCTGCCCGCGTGTGATCTTGTAAGCTTAAGTTCAGCATTCGTGCGCGCCTGGGCTTAACGTACGGCCAAGTGAAGGTTTTAGCGTGAAAATCATTAGAGAAGCACAAACGGTAGGAAGCCAATATTTTGGGAGTACTTCATGCCCCTATGTGACTATGTAAAATTAAGTCCAACCTTTACGTGCGCCTAGGTCTCACGTATGAACACAAGAAACTTTTAGGCTCCAAAATTAATAATTCAGGAGCCACAAAAACTAAGAGGATGAAATTTTAGAATAATGTTCTCCGCTCGTGTACAAATTTACTTCTGCGCACGCTTATGTACGGACAAGCGAAAGTTTTGG